GTCACCACGTCGTGTTAATCAATCAAGAAATGATAGAATGGGTCCGTTGTTTTCTCGAGAAACGCTGTTACATCCCTTCCACACTGTGTTTTGCGACTGTCTTCCATGACAGATACATACATGAGAATTGAGATCTCAGCTTAGCTCCTACGGTACTAGCTGTATGATATCACTGGCTTCACTACCTTCCTGTTTCTTGCGCTTATACCCTACAGTTAAGCTCTCCAGCTCAATAAAAACATCTGCTTGGGCAAGTAAAGGAAGACTTATAATCTCTTGGACTACCTATTTCTCTCCAAACAAGCAAGTTACCTTTCTCGGCACCCGTGGAGCTTCACTGTTCCACACAGTGATTCCGTTACATGATAATACTGATCCATTACTTCCGTCACATCGGAATAAGAAACCTTTTTTTATCTCTAAGGCCTGCCTGCTCTGTCTGCAGCTTACAATCACATTTGAACCTCGACAGCTTTGACACGAAAAGCTACGACATATAGTCGCTTCCGCTCGCTACCGAGTCTGGCGTAAATGTCTCCAGCTTCAAGCTGTTCCATACCGTACAACTGACGATCACGATATCAGCCGTTATTCTAAAGAATTCGGCCCACTGTTGCTGCTTCCTTCCGGGATCCGCGCGAAGAATTAGCAATACAATTATCATGTCCTGTATAGAAGATGTCGCAGCTTTGGCACTTCTGCTTTTTGGCAGAGGTGGCTTCAAAAGCTAACAATGCTCCATCAGGAGGGAAATACGTCGCACCTAGTCTTTTCGACTTCCAGTCAACCCGTGGCTGGTTGGGCTTCAGCCACGCTGTACCTATATTGAAATCGTATCTCATAATCAGATCCATGACAAATAAACAAACCACGCTATCACATCCTTGAACAAAACTGATTAAGCATTATTTTACAAAACAACTTGAAGGCTTCGAAGAGCACCTTTACATGTGTCCTCGTCACAAGGCCCACAGATATTGTATCCAAAATTAAGCCTCTTCGTACTTTGCTAATAATATTAACAGCTGTTCATCTTACGTAATTGCACGACGCTCTCGAATTTATAGGCTCTTTCCGCGGCTTCATGTATTCCTGAAAGCTTATTCAAAATCCCACAGCCATTATCTGTGAGCCCCACCAATCTTAAAGAGAGTCCCTCTTTTGGAAGCTGGATCCTGTTTTCATGACCCCGACAAAGTTGAAAAAAAACCGCTTCTGCTATCCACCCTGCGTGCAGCAAGGCCGCCGTAGCCCTTTTGCTTAAGAAAAACTAAGCTAAGATCGGTTTTCGTAGTTCCATACTTAGAACCAGTACGAGTGTAGCGAATCGCAATTCACTTACTCCAAGAGTAAATACAACCTTAACCCAAGGCAAATCAAATCTTTCGTTCAAAACGTAAAATGTAACTCTCGATTTTATTTGTGGCAAAGCCGCCTATATCTAAACTTATAGGTTTTCCTATCTATTAGAAAATCAAATTAAATGAATAACTACTGGCTGTTCCAACCACGTACTGACTTGCTGATTAAGTGTAGCCACACCATTGTGTGGTCACATCATCATGTGTGACCAAATCATTAGACTATAGCATGTGAAACCCCGTTACACTCTCCCCCATCAAGATTGTAAACGCCAACAGTTCACATTCAATTGTCGCCTCGAACAAGGCTCGCGTGACCAAGGCATCACAACATCACCAGGATCATCTTTACAAATTCTCTGCTCAATCAACTCAGTGTCTAGGATACGATAGACACCCGGTCTCGCTGGTTCCGAGAACGCCTGCGGGCAGGCAACTTCGGACAGCACGTCCGCGGATGGAGTGGGCAGCCGTAGCTAGGATGTCATCAGCTTTGGACACTTTTGCACTCCACCGCCTTTGCTTCAAGGGAAACGCAGCTTCAAGCTCTCGGTAACCGAGTACCGCGCAGCGCATTGTCAGCGACAGGGTCGCACGAGCAAGAACACAGACGCAATGTCTACTCCTGAGCGCGCACCGCGTTCGGCATCGGCTATGTTTTGCCTTGTCGAGGAGTTGGAGAAGGTCGACTACAAGTTGGAGACTCCTTCCCAGGATGGGAAGAAGAAGAGAACCAGGCTCCCGAGCGGTGAGACGGAAGCTCTGCTCGAACAAGCGGACGCTGTGTCCGAATCCCGAACTCTCGACTTCCGGAAGAAGATGTGTCATTACCAATGACCTCGACGAGACACAGAAGCAGCAGCTGGATGCTGTCTGCAGGATGGCTATCATGTGCGCCAATCCACGGTCGGTCTTTGACCCTCGTGTGGAATTTGGCTACAGAAGCGAAGGACGCGATCACTCCATCGTTGGGCGTCTAAG